AATGGGGGCTCATCGAATAGCAGTAAATTTTGGTGACATTGAACAGAAGGCAGCTAACTATGATAGAGAAAAGGAGACTTTAAAAAGTTCGGATGTGAAAGAAATCAAAGATAAGGATGTTGAAAGCAAGAATTTAACAACAAAATTATCGAATCGTTTCTTGTTACAAGAATTAGAAAGCAAGGTATTTCATTGCTCCTGTGAAAGACATAATGTATCTATACCCTTGTTGAGGTTCTAGATCTATGTTCTATCCTTTACTTTTTTCACTCGGGCTTCATCAATGATTTTCGGAAATTATTTGTATGAAATATGCTTACATTAATTGAATATTGCTAAATTTATCAACAATTTTTCTTCTTTCAGGCTGTACTAAAAAGTGCTTCTACCGATAAGAAAGCGAACGTAGTGGAACGTCTTGGTATGAGTGGTGGCATTTCATCCAACAAAGGACGAATAAGTCATTCCGTAGCAAGTGGTATCAAAACTATTCCACAAGAAGGCGTACCTAAAAATTCGAATCAATTGATAGTTGCTAGTAGTAGACTAGACGATGATTGGGAGATAATTGAAGATGATGATACGAGGTTAAGGTTTCATATATATTTGAATTCACATCATTAAATGAGTATAAGATTAAGAAAATAGTGATTATACTCGTCCTGACATTTAGTCGACATAAATGTTTAGTTGTAAGTTTGTTTCACAAATTTTCAAAAAATTGAATTCTTGAAAATTCTAAAAAATTATTCAGATCTGACAGAAAAACGTCAAACGTTACCGAAGAACGTTTCATACCAAAAAAAACCATTCATGATGATTTCCTCGATCACTGGGAAACGTCTACTTCAACAGACATAACTAAGAAAGCGTAATATTCACTTATTTCTTATCGATTTGTCGTAAGAACTACTAATACATTAAAAAATATGCCTTTTTTTTCAGCTAGATTTCATATACATTGCAGTTATAGATAAAAATCTAATTATATTGTAATCGTTAGATTTTAACTGCAGTGATTTTTTTTCCGTTTATTTCGTCAAACCTGTTGTGTTTGGATTTTTCATTTGACGATTTTCCAGTACGAAAGCGGACACACGTGCAATTATCAGTAAATCAGTTGACGATGATACATTGAAAAAATTTGCTAATGCAAAAGCAATATCTTCAGATCAGTACTTTGGTGATTCACAAATAGATGTTAGTATTATTGTTGATTCGATGCGTAATATCAGGTGGATTACGAAATAGTGAGAGAAGATTAAAGAGATAGATTTTTTATATATATCACTGGTATGTAAAAAGATGCCACGTCATTTGAAAGATAATTGTTTTCAGTATGAGGCGCAGTCTAGGCTGAATCGTCTTGAAGGTTCAACTGGCATTGGCAGTGAGGATTTGTTCGGAAGTAATGAAAATAATTCACGCTCTAGTTATACCAGTCAAATGCCTGAAATGTCAGATATCAAAGATAGCATGAGAATGGGTGCTAGCAAAGTAGCTGGTAAATTGTCTTCACTTGGGAGTTCCGTTGCATCTTATCTTGCGGTAAGTAGAATTAAATTTAGATTTTGTGAAGTAAAATTTATATGTTTCTGCCATAACAGTTTTTAGCTTCTGCTTCTGTGCTCTTCAAAAATATACCTGATTAAAATTTGTGCAAAAATCTTTATGGTCCCTTTCTTGCATTTTCTTTTCTCACAATTTTCAATGAAATCAATCTTTAGAAGTGATTTACCCTCACTTTTTAAACCTCTTTTTGACTTCAATGTTATTGCTAGTATTCATATATGAACAATTTTTTGAGATTATAAAGGGTGTGATACAAAGAAGTGCTGAATGCTTTTCATCAAAATTGCGGTCCTAAAATTTGAGGACCTCTGTCATAGGTAGAACATCAGTCCTGATCAGAAATATACCAAATTTTATTTCAGCGAAGCAAAACATAATATCCGAAGTGAGAGGTTCATTATTCGTAAGATCATTCCATTATTTGCTGTTCACAAAGATTTGCTTGCTAATGGCTTGCTCTATATCAATGAGTTCTTTTCTTAGAATGTAACTTAGATTTGTTTCAATCGTCAGTATATTAATCTCTTCTATGCTTCATAGTTTTTCCTACATATTAGATGGTAGAATTCATTTCGATCTAAACATGCAAGTATTTGTTTGTAGTTTTTCATCAGAATGAGCATAGTTTTGTACACATCATGTTCAGATTTGGAAGTTCGACTTTAAAGATGATATGCGTCTTTTAATTTAGGATTGCTTAAAACCACATCCATTCAGGAATCTCTAGAGGCTTCTTAGTTTTTCATTCCCAAAATTTGCTTGTATTTACTTCCTGGACAGTTTTCTAAAGTTTGAATTTCTTCTCAGTACTTTTATATTAGCTTAAAGAAGTGCAGTAAGCCATCTCTGTATTTGGATTATCCAATTTGTTGTGATGTATGTCACAATTTGAAAGTGGAGACCACTAATTTTTATCAGCACTTACATTTTGCTACATTTTTTAAGTGTATTATGGACTAACTTCTGCTTTTTCAAAGAATATTCCTTTGTTTGGATTTAAGTTGCAATATTTTAGAGTCATTAAGACCAGTACTGACTATCGGTCTCAATGAAACAATGTGTGAAATCCAACCATAAGGTTATATATCGAGAAATTACGAGCGAGATGAGTAAAACCAGTCCACCAATCTGAAATATCTTCCACATTTTCAAAGGTTTCATATGATAATTCCATTATTTTATAGCTGCTGTTTCTTACAGTGATTTGTGTCTTATTGTTTCTTATGTAGAAATTTCGAAGTTTGTTTGCCGATCTACAATCTTTCTTGTTTTTTAAGTGGGAGCTTTGGGACTTGATATATAATGAAGCAGTTTGCAAATTTTATTGTTGTGCTATTCACATTCTTCATCTCTTCTACATGTGGACAATAATTTGAAGCTTCAAGAGGATGTAAGACAGAAGTTTGCATTGGTCGCATCCTCAACTGTTTTTAAAAGAGAACTGTATCTCTTAAAAACTGACTGTGTTGTTACAATGCTTTTGCATATGTCTTTTCACAGATTGCGGGAGTCAAAAATCTGACATGCGATTCTAACAGGTCTCTATGAACGAACTTTATACTAGTTTTCACCATTTTGTTGTTTTCAACATGGTAGCAAAAGCACTAACGTATATAATCCTTCGTTTTAATAATGTAAAGAAGTAGTACTTACATCTTTTTTGGTTGCGAAATACTAATTTATATTGGAACTCTGAGCTTGATTAAATGAAACCACTGTAGCCTGCAAGCCAGGTAATAGAAGAAATAATGGGAATTTGGATGAACTAACAAATGAATTGTAAATGTTTTATTCATTAATAGGAAACACTAGGAACAAAGCCATTTCCATTTAAGATATACAAGAAAAACTGTTCACAATTAAACATGAAACTTCTCGATGCGATGTAGCAAAATTTTAAGCTTCTTTGCGTTATGTCAAAGATAGAACAAGTTCCTTTGGGATAACATTCGAAGTTATAAACCAATCACCATTTTTATTAGGCTGACTTCTTTCCGTAAAGATATCGAGCAGCCTCAGTTGTGAATAAGGGAAATTTAAAGAATCTTTTCGGAGCATATCCTACAAAATAAAACAATTTTTGGTTTCCGTGTAAAGACAAAAGGGAAGGGGTGACAGATAATCTTCTGACCAAAGTCAAGCATCGAATCAATAATATGATTGTGCAGTGTTCAGAGATACAACTTATATAGTGCTCAAGCAGATACTACCAAAGAGATTTGAGTGGTGAATCCTATCATGCGGAATTAATAGTCAAATTCATCTAAATGTACTACTAAGTTTCACTCCACAAAAAAATATGAAAGTTATTTTCACTTCGTTAAGCATATTAAAAGGTGACGATTTAGTGAAGTCAAAAAGAATGACATCTGTCTAGTTCGTATCATTTCGCAAAATGCTACAAATAAAGGAGTAAAGCACCTTGCTTTATCTGGTACCATGTGAAGAAATGCATTACGAACTTATCAAGATGGGGCGAGTCTCATGAAAGTCTTAAAAACAAGTAAAAATTGTTCCGCTAACCTTAATAAATGAAAAAGCGTAGTCATAGGCAGAAATACTGCCATTATCAAACTGGAAATGCTGTATCCAACTGCTGTAATCAGTTTCGTCTGGCTTTTCCATATCTTCGAATAAATTATTCAGTTCTGGTAAACTAAAATTGAATTGCTCGCGAAGCTCCATATCTTTCTGTGCAGCATTCAACAAATGACGCAAACGTATAGGTTTCAACATCGCATCATCCTTGGCATCATATATTTGCTTTATTGTAGAGGCAATAAGTTTACGCTCTTTCCTCAAAAACATTTAGGGGTGAACTGACGTCAATCATACTATACTATATAGAAGAAAATATTAAACCCGCCTATCATGGAAATTGTATTTGTAACCGAAGATTTTGAAAAGAAACATCATACTTAATGAAACATATTAGTTAAGAAATTCATAATTATGTAAGTGGTACTGAAATTATTGACCGTAAAGATGAAAATATTTGATTTACATGTATGCTAAGAACCAGTCATATATTTCCTGTAAGCGCTGTCTTTTTTCCGTTGCTCCGTAAGAATACACAAGATTTTGATTGAGGTAAATTAAAAGTTCATAACACACTTATTTAGATTTTAGCGGTAAAACAATAAAAGAGAACAGTTCTGAGTACTTAAGTATAGTTTCAGCTGAATGTCACTTGAACTTGAACTTACAGCCCTAAATAATTCACTACAAGTCGTCCATGTTGCTTGCTTAAAATCTCTTTCAGCCGTTTTACTTCCGATTCATATCGCAACTCGAAAATTTGTTTTTCATATTCTAGTCCGCCTATCTCGACCTGAAATCTAAAATCTTGCTTGGCACATTTTTACAGTAGATCAACAGAAAACAATATCTGAAAAATTATAAGCTAATAATGTAGAAACTAGTTTAAAATTACTATAAAAAATTTAATTCAACACTTTTCATGCAATAAAATTAAGGAATAACTAACTTTCTACCAACTACTTGTAATTTTACTAATTCTAGCGATAATTCCTTTTAATGCAAATACAATTAACGCTGCTCATTATCATCCTTGAAAAATCGGACAATAAAACTTACGGTAGTTAATAAATTTAACTCTGGAATAACGCATGGTGTATGTAGAGTGAGAACATCTGGATATACAATGTTGGACCCCTCAAAATTATTTCTCTCGCAAAAGTCAACACTACTCAAAATCACAAAAAACATATTACATTTAAGAGGCCATGAGCATTAATTACTAATAGGCCTGATCATATAAATAGCTTAAATTAAAAAAGTTAGACAGAGTGAATTCCTCAACTTCAACCAAAAATTTTAATAAAAGCGAAATAAACTCTCGACTTTGAAAGTGATTTTAACTTCCAGTTCTACTAATTCTTCACTGCTCGAATCGACTGTACACAGCAATCGCTTTTCGGCTGCAATTACCCACAGCATTCGAAGTGGCTGTAGATAGGTCCTAAATATAAAAAACACCAAGCTTGACCTTAACGGTATAAAAGAAAAGAATTTTCTTTGGAAAAATAACAAAGATATGAAGTTAGAATAGCTTTTATGCCTCTTATAATTCTACTACTTCAATCCTTAGGTTTCCATGATATTTGACTCATTAAAAATGAGATATAGTGAATAGTATACCACAAAATGACGTATCATATGTGCAATTTTTTCTGCTCCCATTTCCTTCTCAAACAATTCAGCATTTCAGAAAGTCATTCATCTTTTGATACTTTCTAGTTTTAATTAACTGTTACATAGAAGCTTTTTGAAACAGCAAAAAAGATTTTTAAATTCAAATGACCGACCGATTATCAAATAATCCATGAGGATTGACTGGAAAGAATGAAATCACCAAAGCTGCGACCGATAAATCATCCGTCTTGAGGACATATCTTAGAAAACACTTATATATGAACAAATATTACTAATTTTGACTCTAATTTTCCAATGTATAAAAATTCGCCATTTCCAAACTTTTTTACAACTGCAGAATACTAAACGTTAGTAAAACATTAAAAGTACAACCTCCCACGCCCGAACATTAACATCCCAATCGCAGTACTGGTGGCAGCATGTAAATTATGTGCCATATGATCAACAGGAGTTTCCGGCATAATAACACGCGAACGAAGATATCGACAAAAACGCAACACTTGTAGATTTCCACTGCCAGCCATAAGCTACAAGATAAAAGGAAATTCTTGCATTTTAAAGTTAATACTGAAGAGCCATTAAAGATTTCTTTAAATATAGTTAGCTTCTAAACAGTTTGACATCCATGATTTTTCTTATGAAAATGGCAAACTACCATAGCAGCATATTTTAAACTTTAACAAAATCTTAAAAGCTATTAAAAAGGTTATAAAATTTTCGAAACAGATGCTAAATCACATAATCAGTTTTATAAATGTTAATTACTCATAAATTTCTTCGACGTACTTAAAATAAGAGAGAAAAAACAATATACTCATATGACCATTCATTACTTAAATATGTTGTTCCTTTATATTTTAGAGAATTTTCAAACAATGTTCAAAGAACGTACAATTCCTAACGCATTAACAAGAATACCGAGCACATTAGAACAAGTTTGAGTTCCGGCTGCGTATCCAAACATACCTCGAATTTGTAATGTATCAACGGATAGTACCATTTTAATGTATTGCCACTAAAAATTTCAATGCTCTGCAAAAGGAAAGATATTCAAACATACTTTTGATAAAAAACAACTTATTTTTAATAATAGACGTATGAAGGCCTATTACTGATTTTACATTTTAAAAACGATGCTAAAATGAATCAGAAATAGAACAATATTGTTTCTAAATAGTTAATCCCAGGTGCAAAAAAAGATTATCTTAGTGCTCGTACTCTGAGTTATGATAAATATTTGGATAGGTCGCGAAATGGAACAAGATAGAAGACTCAAGTTCGTATCAATCAATTTTCCCGTTCATTTAAAATAAACTTGAAACTTTTCTAAAGACTTTTAGTTTTCAGGAACTGCAACAAAATCAGTACTATTGTCTGGATGTTTCTCTACAGTAAATATTTCAAGCCGCATAACAGGAACCATAGATGAAGTTAATAAAAATGATTTTAAAATCTCAGTTTACAGAACACTTTCATATTTACAATAGTATTGAAAGCTTCAGAGTTCCATGTTGATGCAAAACGTATTGCCATTGCCAAGCAAGCACCAGCCACTATACTCAAATATGCCTATAATTGAGTAAATACTTTAAAATCTATGAATTTTTCATACCACTTTTTGGAATTTTTATTGGAAAAGACATAAGAGAGAGATGAATACAAACATTACCGAACATTGAGTGCTAAATTATAAATAGCTCCACTATATCCAATCCACAAAATTTATGTAGTCTACAATAGCCTACGAAAGTACCACAATGAATCACAATAAGAAATCAGATTTGATTAGGAATTTCGTGAATAATGACGAGCGAAATTCTGTGCTCTCTAACAAAATCTTTGCTATAAAGCGAAACTGCTTACATCGAAAAATAATATCAGTAATAGTAACCTGAGCTATAGTTTGCTTATCAACAGCTGCATGCAGAGATCGTGATTGTTCGCTTTCTTCTTCACTAACACATTCATTCAATTTCGTCCAGAACAAACGATGCTTATACTGCAGCACAATTGATGGCACTGAATTTTCCACCCAATTTCCAGTCGCTGTTATATCATTCCATAAAACAAGATGCTTGCACAAAGTTCTGGAATAAATACGCGAAAACAGATGATTCGATTACAAAAATCTTGTAATGCATAAAAAGATTTCATGAACTTCAAGCTAAAATATCTTAGCACTCAATACTGGACTAGTTCTATCGATTCTGTCTCTGTTGCAAAGCTTTTATTTTCCTTATTCTTGTGCAGTTAGTCAAGCATTAATAATTAAGTTTGAATAGGATCCTGAGAAAAATGAAACATCAGAAAAATGAGAGAATCAAGTACCTGAGCGTGATAAGATCAGGACGTATTTTCTCAATAGAGGACAGTGTTTCAGGAATTTTCAAACATTCTGCAGCCCATCTATTTCCTGTTCTAAGATACATTAAACCGAGGGCAACAGTGGCTGCACTTGCTGGAATGAGCCACAATGTTTGAAATATGAAATAAAAAGTAATTAAACTGAATGATAATTTCTTCTGAGATACATTTGGTTTAGAAACAATCACCAAAATTAAAAGCCAGCACAAATGATTCAATCACGAATCTTTCAATGCACTTTAAAGATTATTTGAAAATTACATTTAAAAAATACAAGTAAAAAAAACGCAAATAATTAGAATAAATGCACAGGATCAACTATGATGAAATTCGCAGTCACGAATATTAAAGGTAAAACTGGAGAGTCTTATCATTATGAAAATAGGGCAGCAAAGATACTAAGCATACTTAACTTGAACTAAAAGAACACAAAAATTTCTAAAGTCCTAAAACAATTCTATAGCTGCAAAAGGATGAAAGAGAAGTGAGAAAACATATCTATTTAAATATACATAATCTAAAATAAGAATTAATTAGTAGCTGAATGGTTTATGAACTGAGTTACAACTGATACATTCCAATGATACATTTCCCAATAATTTATCTAGAAGGTACAACATAAAAATTGACGTAAAAATTTACCAGTCAAATGAGGATTGACAAATTCACACTCTCGAACATGATTTGACGGTGAAGTGGTTGTAGTGGAAGCAACGTTGGAAACATCAGACAAATCTGCAGCATTAGATGGAAACACACATAATGTTCGTAGTCCACCCTGCATAAGTATAACAAGTCTAGATGATATACTCGGATACTGCTTCACAAACGGCACATTTGATAGCATATCTTCTCCGCGTCCTTTAATTTTGAATATTAAAAAATAATACAAAATATATGATAAATACTGATATAGAAAGAAGGAAAGATCTGATAAAGTTTACTATTAAAATTTAATTTTCTTGATTTATTGAAATTCTTCCAAGTATGCTTAAAATTGTTGAAAAAACAAGACAACATACCTAATCCAATAAGACCAATTGCAAAACCTGCCGCAAGAGAATAAGAATATCGGTCAACTGCAGGAGGCTCACAATCTGAGCACGAAGGTTTACCTATTTCATTTATTAGCTGACTAATGATGCCCAAATGGGATGATTCCGCAAACAATAAACCAAGCCCTACTAATGCTGCAGTTTGAATCATTGTATCGATGTGAAGTTCGAGTAATGTCGGACCCATCATAAATGGCAAATGGGTAATCATCATTTTATGCACCTGAGAAAAATAAAAAATTCACTCAGAATCGTACCAACTGATGTAAAATTGGCTTTTTCACAGATGAAATTACATAAAATTACTCAGTACTTGAAAATCGAAATAAGTCAAATCTTGTGATGATCATATGTTCAATACCCTAGTCTTTTCTCAACAGAATGATCACCGCTTAAACGATGAATCCAATTCTACCACCATCATGAAGCCCTCATTACTAAGACACTGTCTTAGAACGATGAAATGAAGTAAAACTCATCGATTTTTAATTAACAATCTAATAAGTGGTATTTTATCAATGAAGTTTGTTTTTGCTGTGTCAACTATATATGTTTGAAATAGCTTTCTACTCCCTAATATTTACGCTACATTATATTTTTCAAAATGGTGTAACTTATCTTATACATAATAAAATTCTCCAGTCGCTTCAAACTAAGTTTTCAAATTTCGAACTATAATTTTTCTATAACTAGCAGATTTGACAGCACCTGCAGATATTTTTCCAAAGATCATCACAAAAATATAGCTTTCTAAAGTTAATTAAATGTAATGATAAATAAACTAATTGCTACATTTCCGGTTTCTTTACCTGTACATCAGAGGTTGCGCGCCTGCTTATACCACATCCTAGTAAAACTGCAATGCTCATGAGAGGATCACCACGACTTAAAAGTTCATGTATCATGAACAAATTCATATTCGTTATATGACCATTTAATCCGAATGCATACATCAAACCAGCAGCTTCTGCTCCTTGCTATAATGAATGATGCGATAGAAAATAGGTAAAGAACTTAAACTAACAAACAGTAACTATAAGCATCATACAAATTAACACAAAAGAAAACGATCATCTTTTAAAATAATTTCCTTACCAAATTAGTTATGCTCATTGAAAGCCACTCACTGTCAAGATATAAATTTCTGACATTTCCAATAGACAGTCCTGCAGCCACAGCATTGTAAAATTTACCCCATTTTGTTAACGACTTCACTGACTGTAATGAAATCCTTTAGTAACTTTTATATCCTTCCTTAACAAGGAAAAAAATAACAAAATATGCGTTTAACTGTAGAACAAAATCAAATTCTAATAACACCGATATTAACAATCAGATATATATTCATACTTAGAAGTACTCAGTTAAATATGATTGCTATGTCTTTAGTTTTAAAATTAAAAATTTATGTGTTGCTCAATATAATGAGGAAATCGAAAATTATCTGCATAAAATGTCTAGAATGCTTTCCTCATTAAACTAATCAGCTGAAAATACATCAAGCACAAAATTATGTGACTCAACCAACATCCCAGCCCATTTATCATATGAATCAAAATAACATGTTAGAAAAATCAGATTTATAGAATAATTTTCGCAAAAGATTTTTCTCAGGACTTTACACGATTTCTTACAATTCAATTGATGTGATCGCTTCCTTATATTATGTTTAACTATTAACAAATGAAAATGGTAAAAAAATTGTACATCGGTTGGATTTAATTCAATTGGTGCATTCGCAGGATGCAATCGGCCTTGAAGATTGAGCGGTGGTATAGTATACGGTCGATTTAAAAGAGGAATTGTAGAGCAAAAATTAAGTGCTGCACGTCCAAAAGCATGAGTGACATTGCGTAATGTGAAAGATCTTAGAAGAAGTTCAGCCATTTCCCGCTGATTTGTTTCTGATAACGCCTGAAAGAATATAAAATGTCAAAATTTATCTCAATATATCAATTTCAGTCAGAAAAATTATTAAATGATGATTTTGTTCACGTATCGCATTTCGAAAATTCAATAGTAACTAAAAATTTTTTTTGGGAGAATGAACTTGGAAAAAAATAAAGAGAGAATTCTAGTCAAAGTTGGTTTATAACTGAATGAGCTGAAGTACTTGAATGCTCACGTCATAATGTTTTACTGTGCCACAGAAAAGTTTACAGTAATTTCAGTTATAAAAACTTGATTTCTGTAACATTTTCTGCAGTTTTCATTTTTGTTAAGCCCAAAAGACAAGAAGATAACCCAAAAACACTTTTCAAGCAGATTACTTCACCATCACGACTATTTCCAAATAGTTTACCTCACTGCTTGATGGTAAGAAAATAGGACGACGACTATCCAACATTTGCATAACATTAATGCAACGCAAATCACGTGGCCAACGTCGTTTGGTAATTGAATTAAGCTCTTCTGGAGTGGGCATAACACTAAAGGTTTTTCTCAATGATTCCAAACTGATTGAAATCTTAGTTTTTGCGCATTCACATGGTGAATGCGCAAAAACTTAAATGCAAAACTTAAGATTCTTATAGGTTTATTTAAAATGGGCACAGTTTAATATAAAGAACACAAATGTTAGGAAAACATGGTAGCGAAATATTAAAAACATATCCACAGTAACCAGTCATTTATATAGTTGCTGCTAACCTTCGATCTGTGTGACATGTGATCGGAGTGAAAAAACGCAAGGTTTTGGTCGAAGGCTCATAAAATATTTCACATAGAATTATAGCAAGAGCTGGTGGAATATCCAGCAAAGAAGATTTTGTAATTTTAAACAACTGAACCAGTTTTTCACACCTGTAAATTGAAGTTAAATACAATAAATTTCTATAATCACCATATATATAATTACTGCTCTGTCAGCTTCTAAATTGAAATTATGAATCATTCACGATTAAAAATATGTTGAGATTACGAAATTTTTCGCTTTACAACATATCGACTAGCTAAAAAAATTAGACTCGACTAAGAAAATCCCGTTTTTTATTCTAGACTAAACAAGTGGTGACTGATAAAACTTGCATTATCTGTCGCCATGTTAGATGAGAACTATTATCTACTAAATACATTTTATAAAACATGAGTAATAACAAATTTATTTTAAAATAACATTTCATCTGATATATAACATTATATTTTTCAGTTTTTTATGTATTTTCTGTTCCTAATGACTCCTTAATAGAAGTGAAATTAGACAGAACTAACTTTTCAATTGCTGCGCAGTTCAGATTCAAAATATCAGAAAATTGCTCTGTTCCTGCTTCATTAAGTCCCAATTTTTGCTCATAACATAATCCCAACACTTTCTAAATAAATTTAAAAACAGATCACAAATTGTTGATGAGTTGAGTAACACTGCTTCAAATCTGATTCTACCGTGTACAAAATTTTTTTCAACCATTCGAATAAGATTTCTATACTTTTTTAGAAACAGCAAAAATATGTAAGACAAATCATAATTAAAAGAGAAACTGCGCTACCATTGCAAAAATTCAGATAGAGTCAGACATCTCCCGATAAAATCAACTCTAAAAAAAATTACAAACATCTAGACCAAATCTTAATTAAACTGGCCTTCTACCTTAGCATCAACTGTACTCCTTATCTTCTTGAGACCAATACCGATTATAGTTCCAATGGGAGAAACAAACAGTGATGACTCAATCAATGCTAAATCTCCACCGCTTTTCAAAATTCGTACCATGTTGTCATGCCATGATGGTATAAGGTGCGATAAAAATTGAGTATTAAGCAGTATTTGAAGCATTTTCTGACTACCTGCACAAATATCCAAATTTATGAAAAATGTAAGTAAACGAAAAACTGCTATGACACTGATAAAATACTGGTAACTTATATGTTTTGAAGTAACTCCATATTTTGGAGAAATGAACTGATATGAAGAAAAACTGACATTTAAGTGATTGCCTTTAATTCTAGAAAATATTGACAAAATATTCACAGTACGCATGCTGTTTCTTTGAATTGACGACTTACTTTCGGAAATTTCAAATTTTTGACTTGATAATGAGGGAAAATCTTTTTCATAATATTCGCAGTAATTTCTTATCCCCAAAATCCTAAAAACAACAGTTTGAGATCGAGAGATTCAAGTTTAAGATCCTATAATTTATGAAAAGTGCCTAACTTTTGCGCTAGTAAAAAAAATACAGGTTTTAATGACGATTCAAGCAACTGAGTCTGCATTAGTTTTTAAACAACTAAAGAAAGAATACAGTAAATTCTGAGTGAGGAGATAAGTTAAATCAACTATTTCGAGAAAAACTATTTCCTGCAATCAGTGATAAATGAGCTATCCCTTTATAGGCATACTGCATTTTTTTTTCTTATCAACTTACGATGTGAAGCTAATTCATTTGGATACGAAAGTACAGCTACCTATACAGTGACTTTTAAAGTCTAATAATGAATCAATTTAAAACCACACCCAGAAAAGGCATGAAGTGATGAGCATAAAAGAAAAAGTAAGGAATTCATTCGCCTATCCAATTTTATATTCTCATATATATTATGCAGCTCGAAGAATGTCGCCAATGAATGTTGATATAAAGTGCCTTCATCGTTAATAGACACATGATAACATTTGGCAGCGGCATTTTTGGAACCATCAAAATCCCACCACTGACAATTGAACAACTTTTTTAGATTTCGCCAAATCTGAAATTATTTCCACATAAGAAATGAAAATATATAAGAAAAATATGCAAAAATATGGTATTAAAAAGCATAAAAAACAAAATATAAGAAAATCGCTCATTGCAGCATTCTTTCCTTCACGAGCACATAAACTACTTTCTTAGTTTTCAATAGATCCCAGAAAACAATGGAGAAATGTTTTTCAAGTTGTTTATGTTACGTGACAAATATAGAGACCAATAATTTTAAAATTTTCAAAAATTCAGTAAAAAAAAATATTTCAATCTTTTAAAGAGAGTGAGGAATAGTTATGAAAAAATAAATCTAAACTTCAGGATTTAGAAAGGCGATGCATTAAAGTAAAAGCAATTATCATTCATCATTTACACAGAAATAATACACTTCCGAAACATACACCAACATGCTTCGAATGTTGAGAGCGTTTCTTTTTTTCACATATTCCTTCTTCAGAACGATGTCGAAGAGATTCTACCTACAAATCGATTAGTACTTTAACAAAAATTGAACCAAAACTTCGGTACAACTTCACATTTCGGATCATGACATTTCATATAATTTTGATACCTGTGCTCATTTTCTAATCTGGCTTTTGTAAAATAAATCACAAGCATCATAATGAAAATTTAAGAGTTTAAGAAATAAATCAATGAAATTGAAAAGTGAAACAATTTTCATATCTCATGTTTTATATAAAAAATTAATAAAACTGAAACTGGGTAATACAAGAATGCAATAAACCATAACCTCACGGAAGACAGGAAAATCATGAATATAAATTCCACACTGAATGAGAATAAAGTGCAGAAATATAGCAAATTCTGTGGCAACACGTTCATTATAATAATTCGAAAGCAAGCGTGAACTATTACTGGTGTGCCATAATGATGACACTTGCATTGCTTTCTCCTGCGGCAAACTTGAACAAAGTTGCGTAAAACATTCGGCTACTACAAAGAAGAAAAAAAAAGACAAACAGAAAAGAAAAACAAGCATTCGAAGCATGAAAATATTGACAATTAAATCTTGTTATCTAGCTTTGAACTTTTTTACCACTGATAATGCTGATTTAGAGAGACAAAACTAACCGAAAGATGAAGATGTAACTGGCGGCAACTTACACAAAACCAATTCAGGCTTCTGTGATTTCTGAAACTGATCAATTCATGTACATGAAAATTTCAAGAATCATTAACAATGTTTATAATTTATGACAAAAGAATGGGTGAAAGGACAGATGCTGAAGTTATCAAAAGCTGATAACCTCATTGAAGAAAATTTGAGACGAAAAATTTTAATCAGTGGAAAATAATTTCAGTTTACATGTAGAATAACAATTAATTTTGGTAACTTCCATAAAAGAAGCTTAAAATTTGATCAATTTATGTTTAATGAAACGCACCAGAATTATGTGTCCAACAAAAGCTGGACGTATTTCATCGACAGGACCACACAAAAATAAACCGTGCGTATTTTCTAGTCTCTCCTGAAAGTGCGAATTCGCTCAGCAACTCTAATATAATAAGATAGAAAATTGCAAATAAATTTTAATCAAAATGCATCGGATATGGTTTACCATAATCAAGCTTACTTTTAAAATTCAATCCAAACTTTAGTTTACATCATTCATTTCTTTGACTAGGCTAGAGATATTTTTCTAAAACCTTAACCAAGAAAATATTTGAATCATTACATTAGTAAAGAGATCACCTCAATATCAAGAAAATATTCTTCACTGAATTTGAATTCATAATTTCCATACAAGGAGCCAATGCGTGTAATACCACTATAAAGATTTACACAACCTTCTAAATCGATTACTGCCATCATTCTGCGATCCTGAATAAGGACAACAATGAAGATGCAAAGATTATATTTTATTTCCTCGACAATCGAAACAGAAGTAAACCTCAACATTTGCAGCTCCTTTACATGCGATAGCAACAAATGAACTTGCGGTTATTCGTTGCTCACCATGTGTTATTATACGAACACATTTCAGAAGACTTTGTTCGGCAACATAAAAGCAAGCATATAGCTGACCAGTAAAATCTAAAACAAAAATCAAATGCAGTACTCAGCTGGATTCAGAAAAAAGGAGAGCTAATAATTATTAGTATGTAGATCCAAAAATTTATTCTACGAAACAAGTTATTTCAAAAAAGTTTTCCTTAATTAAAAGAATACTGTCATGATTTTTCTAAAATTATTATGGGACGATGTTCGTTGAATAATATAATTTTAACTCTTCGTACAAAAAAATCTATCGATGATAACGTACTATATTTCAAGAAAATAGAAAATTGAAACCTTCTGTAGTAAATGAAAATGATGCAGGGCCACATGCTTCCAGGTCAGCCTCTGGACTTTCTGTCCATATGCACTCTATGCAGATCTATAAAAAAATTTTATTAGAATAGAATTAATATACAAATAACACTGATGAAATTACCTCCGGCGCAATAAGATCAATATCTGAACCCTGAGTCTCAATCAGAGAAATCAAACTATCATCACAAAATGAACTGATGCGAGGAGTCACATGAGCACCTATAAAATATTATTAGACTACTCATTTGATGCAACACACTAACAATAAGCTATCCTTTGGATTAATTTCCTGAAACGCCAAATGAATGAAATTTGAAATCAATAACTTACTTCGTACTAAATCTTACTTTCACTATCTTGAAAAAGAAATCATAAGATAGAAAAACATGTTTTATGCTCTTGAATAAAATACAAAACTGTCCTTACTTCCTCCTCGCAGACGAATGATAGGCGAATCTGTGATTGATCGGCTAAAAAATTTTCAAGTAGTTTGCAATTTTCCATGTGGAGCATGAAATATAGAAAATCATAAGAGTAGAGGCAAACTAAGTGTTAGAAACTAAAACTTGACATTTTCAGTTAGTTTACAAAGACTTCTCAAACAAACTTAGAACGCTGAGCAGGACTAGTGGTTGGAAATGGCAATGACTGCATCAGTGCAGCAGCTGAAGTTACAGATCTTGTACGAGCTATTTTTGATTGAGGAGTACCCCAAGTGTCATCTGTAAATAGTTAACAGTTCAAAACAACCTGATAATATCAGTCTTTTCTGTAATCGTACTTAAAGTATAAAGTATTACCAAACGAATCATTTGGTCCTGAACGACTTTTTGTTTGGCAGCTCAATCTTGGAGTTGAAAGTTGACTTGCTCGACCTGAAGAACTTTAAAAACTACCAGTCCATGAATAACTCAAGTATGATTTATTTCAGCCCCTAATTCATGAATTTCACGCCAAAAATAAAATAAGACAAAAATTTTTTTTCTGTAATGAGAAAAAGTTGATAAAGGCAAATTTTAATATACCGAAGAATATTTAGAACACCATTAAACAGTGAATAAAAAAAGTTTAGTAACGGTGCTTAGATACACTGATGCAAAATACAAAATATTGAATAACTAAAGAGTTATATGTTTAAAAAGCGTTGTTTTTTACTGAATTATTTATCTCAGTTGCAGAATGATAGTCAATTTTATACATAAAAATATAAAGTTAATGGCCATTTCAAGCTTTAAAAAACCACGGATGTCACTAATTAAAAGCACTGAATAAGATGAGAAACTCAATAATCATGAAAGTGTGGTGATAAAATAGACAAGCCTACATGTTGCTGAGAGTGAAGTATTACTAGAGACGAAACTTTCTGCTTTGCTTGCTGCACATTTCCATTCTGGTATCAACGCTTTTCGTATCCAATACAGTGAATGTAGCTGTGTGAGTGCTGAGTAAGTTAATAGCAAAGGATAACCATTAAATGCTTCCAACAGCAATATCTCTGCATTATCCCACAAATAATGAGGCGAATCATCACCATCTAGAAAAGTTGGATTGATTTCTTTATATACATATTAGTCCTACTAGTTTTGTTCCTATCATTTATGCTAAATTAATAACGTTTTGATGGGACAGAATAAAAAAACATCAGCACTGATGCAGGATTTTTTTTATTTTTGGATTGTTTTGTAATAAAATTATAGCTGTTTTTTATTGAAGAAATCACTGTTAGCGCATTCTACTATCCTGATCACAATTTTATTCCATGGAATAAAAAATTGTACTTTTGACGTTTGAAAAATAATTTTAAAAATCGCACCTAATATTTAGCATAAATGAATAACTATGATGAAATGAAGGGCAACCCATATGATAAATTTACTCTAATATTTTCGATGAAAATATCTTAAAAATTACTAATTTACTCCTAACCACCAAAGTTTGTTGGTCTTTTTTAGAGTAATAGCATGATTAAAGAGAAATAATTTCACCATAATAAAAACAAAATCACCTTTGTTTTTGCAGATGATTGGTAACAGTTCGCAATATGGATGCGATAATGAAAATAAGTGAGGGAAATTTGGAGTTCTAAAAACACAACAAAAGTTAAGGCAATTAAACTTCTTAGACATATTAACAATGATAATAATTACTGAATCTCTGCTATGATATTTAGCCATCTCTTTAGAAACGAAAGCAGAAATCCTACAGAGATAATAAAGGAGGAGCTCGTTGTAAAACCAGTCCAATAGCAGCACGAAGCACACGCTTAACCTGAAATGTTTTTTAGTACTTGGATGAGTATATATATAAATATATAAAAATATAATAAATGAATACATAAACAAAAAATTCATTAATTAATTGATTAAAATGATAAAATTAAATAAATGAATATATTTATATATTTATTTATTTAATTATTTATTTCAATTTTCTAATATAAGAAACTTTACCGTGAAAGGTAATGTGATGGTATATAAAATCCAATCATTACTGGGAGCAAATATTAGCTTTTTGTGACCAATGAGACAAACACCATGCAGAGGTCTATCATCATCAGAAGTCTTTGGAAACTCACACCAAAATGCCTGTTTCACATTTAAAAATAAAACAGAAGTAGAAATTGAAAGAGCATGAGATTCATGAATAAAACCTTAAATATGGAACCATGAGAATAATGAAAATGAATGTATGGCTCATAAGCTAAAGGGATAAAGTTAAAACTTTTGAACTATTCAAATATTACGGAACAAATATCGAAAGCAAAATGAAAAGCACACAAAGGATTTAAAAGGCAGAATTCTGTTCCCAGCAAAGATACCCTATAAGCAGCATAATGAACCGAATTAAACATGATGGAGATGAAAATTTAGCTATCCTAGTATTTTTTTAAAACTAAGAGCGAACATCTAGTAATGGAAAATCTGCAGTTAGTCGACGCCGAACAACACCGGACGGGTACTCTTCAATAGTAACTGAATCTTCTTGAATCACAAGTTTTTCTCCACCACCTTTCGGCAAACTTCGATAATGAATTCTATATCCCTAGAAATATCACTAACTTGATGTACTTCAACCACTAATTATCAAACTATTTAAAATGAACATTATTTTAAATGATATAGATAAAACTATCCAATGAAATTTGTTCCGAGAATATCTACTTGATAAAATAAATTTTATGTTGCAGCAAAAATTTCATGATAATTTAATCAACATAATTAAATTCTTTTAGCAAAATCGAGATTACTTATTCAAAATACACTTTCATACCTTTATTTTATTTCATATTAGCAGTACTCTTACTAGTAAGGTGGTGTCCAAGAACTACACTTTTTTAAGGTAACCTAATATAAACAACTGATGATCACTAAAATTTAATTACAATGGCAATGAAAGCAACACACATTTATATCGCTTAGGACAGGCATCAACAAATCAGCAATAATCATATTTTTATATTCGTCTTCCAGATTCTTGTCACGTTTACAACCATGCATTCAATAAAGATAGGAACTCTGCAATACGCTCTTCATGAACCATTGCATGTTACAGAAAACCGCGTAACTAGTTATGTTCTATAATAACAGATGCATTTATTTGTATTTTCTTTTAAATAAATGAATTAGAGTAAAACAGATCCACACTTCATTCTAATTGAAAATGGCACCATTTACACTGAGTAAAAATAACTAAACATATATATGTAATATGATAACGATATTACATTCTGTATTAAATATATATACAAACAAAAATCGCAAAACGACATTAAAAGGAAGCAAAAATCACCTTTAGGCATTTTTACAAATCTAAAAATAATTGCTCAAAAACTAATGACTTGCAAGATGATGCGTGCAACAATCTGACGCCCTTACCCGCAGCCTTAATTGCTTATAGTGAACCAAATACTTGCACATAATTCTTCTGAACTTTAACGGACATGAGTGACAAAAATGTCAATTTATTAAACCTTGCATGACTAACCTCTACTTTACTTTTCCAAAAAATGTTCCCATCTAAATTTCATCTCTTCCTGATGTAGCATATCAGAAAATACCAAAATTTTACAGCTGTATCAGACAGGTAAATAAACTAAAATATACCTGCTTCATAATTTAATTAAAGCTGTTTTATTAGAAAAAGTATAATACAACATCAAATCAAAAAGCAACAAACACTCCTAAAACAATGCTTTATAAATTTCAAAACTCATGTCAGATATTTCAGTTGCATACAGATCTTTTAGCCGCAGCCAGGAGCCGCAATTATTTTGTATTATTTTTCAAGTTTGTAATTTTTCAAAATCCCTTTCTGTAGTATTGGTTTTTATCGTTACAATTCAAATTTGCTAGGTGTTAGTGGAGTTGATCTTATTTAAATTCTTCCTAGAAATATGATTGTTTCTAAGTAGCGATCATTCGAGGATTGGAAAATTGGTTTTTGGGCTTTCCGAATGGGGCGAGTCACTACGAAAGCCAATAGTTCCTCACACTTATCTCTATTGACATTGACTGAGCAAGAAGATTTAATCCAAAGAGAACGTCAAAGACGACGATTGATAAGGTATGCTTAAATTTTAAGGTACTAATGCTCATATTCGCTTCAATGTATTTTACTCGAGCAAGTCTAAAACCTTCACGCTTGATTTAAAATTAAGTTTGATTCTTGGGAAAAATTTTATGCATACACACGCCTCTGTTGCAGTAATTTTTTTCAAACTCTAAGATGCTTCTATATGACATCTGAAAGATAAAATAGTTTTGTTTCGTTATCAATTGATGCAAATTTTTTACTCAAGTTTCTGTCTTACTACTTTAATAAATAGTCAAATAAATAATCTGTATTCTCTGGATTTGCTTTATGAACATCAAATTTCACTCAATCTCTCTCTTTCTCTTTCTCTACTGTTTCAAAAATCTGCAGATATCAACAAGTACGACAATTAAGTTCTGAAAATGCTGCAAAAATACGAGAACGTGTAAGGTTAGCAAAAGAAAAAAGAATGGAGACACTGAAAAAACATTTAACGGATGCTATTGTCCATCGTAATCACTTAGACTCTGGAAAGACTTCCCCATCTGCCCAAGCTACTACTACTTTAAAGGTAATTCTAAACTTATTAGCTTGTTTCCAAATGTGCTCCTTTGGACATGCTATTGTTGCGGAATTTTCATTATGAAAAATTTCATCTTGCAATGCAGTATATAGAATAGTATATTTTGTTAATGTTTCAATCAGAACTTGTGTATCAGTTGAAAAGGCATGAGATCTTTCAGCTTTTGTTATCAAGATCAGTGCTTAAAAAACAAATGGTGAAAAAATGTTCTGATATAAAAAGTTATTGTAACAAAATTTGATAATTAGGCCGGAAAAACGTAAAAATATATCGTTTTCAATGGCTCATAATTTACTCTGCTTTTGTCGGAAATGGTAGTCATAAAATTTATGAATTTTTTATCCTGGACTAATTGAATTGATTTATAATTTTTAAGCATCATTGTCATGGAAAAACATATTTAATCTAGTTTTGAGAGAAATTCAATTTTGTATATATTGATAATTATGAGTTCAGATTTATTTTAGTCTATGAAAACACCCCGGAAATCACAGCTGCACCAGATCACAAGTACTCAAATAAAGTCTGCGATACGTCGTCATCGTGAAGCAATAAAGAAATTGCATCAAGAACGTGATAGAGATCGTCGACGACATGAGTTTATACAGGAAATGCGAAGAAAAGTATGGGCAGAAGCGAATGCAAATCAACGATCTAGAAGAAGAGGGAGCAATATTTAAGAATTAGTATATGGTATATAGTTTATTAAAAAATTTCTTTGCGAGTAAGTAGTGATTGCAGTGTAGTATTAATAGTAAAAACATTGGTAATATGATAACAAGGAAAATCTGGAATATTTCCTTTTGTAGGAACAAAGTCTTATCTTGCCAATGCGTGAAAAAAAAGAAGCCTGAATATCGATATTTTGTTTGAATATTTTGTCTATTAAAAACAAATTGCTAAATAATTGAGCAATTCGTTGTATTTAAAATGAATACTATAAGATGGGGTGACGTTGTTGATGTCCACTGAAAGACTTTAAAATGGATGAACTTTGCTTCACATGGTTTTTTTCTTGTGATTTTTGTATTGTATTTTGATTTTTTATTGTAAAGAATGAAGTAAATAAGGCAGCATTTTCACTACTGTTTTACCATATTCCCAAAGACTAGATCCACCTTAAAATACAAGGAATCGAGTGAATTGACATAGTTTAATTCATACTGCTCTGTCGTAAGTTTGCCATTATCTGATTCCTGTTTATTTGGACTTGAATTTTGCTAATATCAAAAAGAAAATATTAAATGCCTGTGAATACAAATAGTGCTTGTATTTGCATATCTTTGCTTTAGTACTGGCGATGTTATCAAAAAGAACAATAATCGATTTCAAACAAAACATCATTAACTTGTCTGATAGAGATCACACGCTTCTGAGCACATTCACATGTGGTGTATAGTTTTAATTTGGGTTGCATGTTAATTGACCGGTGAATGGGCTGCGTCTTGGGATTCGTTCACAAACATCGAAAGTGAGCCGTATGCATGAAATCTCATTTTCATACAACAGCCATGGTAGGTAATCTTCTCTGGAATGAAATAAAATTTGGAAAAGTAATTTCAAGAAAAGATTCTGAGTAATATATAAATGATTGCTTCGTAATAAAATGAAAGTCGTGTATTGCAGTGATTTACTCTGTTGATAGTGTTTAGGAATGGATCTGTACTAGAAGTTAGCGAAAAAATTTTTTTCGATGAAAGGAAACAGTAAATGTAGGGAATGGAATATTTTGTAAGTAAATGAATGTTGTGCTTCTGAGCTTGCCTTTGCGAATTGTCTTACGATTCATGGATGATGTATTTAATACTTGTCTGATAGAGAAACAGATATAGGAGGTAAGTGTAATTATGAAAAATATTCAATTAATCAGTTGAAAATGAGAACACAAGCTATTCTAATGTGACATAGTGCAAGAAAGGGTACATTCTAATCCTCATTACTTCCACAGATGAAATATTTACCAATCAATCCTAAGGGTACTGGCTTTCGTTTGAGGTGCAATTTTTGCTTACAATTATACTTAATTATCAGTTCGTCATCGCATGCATAGCAAAAAGATCATCGCACTAACCTGTGCCAGATGTCTTTGCGATAATTGATATACCATTGACGGAATTTCTCAAACTGTCCGTTATTGATGTCCCAACTTTTACGCCTTTCTTCCAATTCTTTTTGGATATTTTCTTCAATCGATGCCTCTTTGATACGTTTCTTTTCCTCTACATCACCAGTTGCATTCATGGCTAAACGTAATTTGGCCACTAAAGTACCCTGTAAGAACACTGCAGTACTAGACAATATCACTGTTGTCTTTGCACTTTGATGCATATAATTACGTGAAGTAAGTCAGTTTTGCAAATAACAAAAGAGTCATTTGGAAGTCGTCTTCATGGCACTAACTGAAACAAATTTGGTAGCAATGAGTAATTCCTTCATTAATAGTTGTCATTAGTATTTATTCACTTCCGTACTACATGTGTCTATTTCACATGCAAATTTTGTTGTGAATAGAAGTTTAAATTGATCATGACAACTTGAATCAATAGCTTACTGAGATAGCTACAGAAAATTAACTTTAAAAATGAAATAACAGGAATGCATACAATCGAATCCACTGCTTGAAGCTGTCTCTCAAGCACTTCAAAATTACAATAGATGATAATGCTTGAAGCAAAAATAAGAAGATATACATGATGTAGGCATCTTCTGTTTCCTTCATATTACTTGATAGATTTTATTTCCAATCAAGTCATAATGCAAAACTAACATAGCCAATTTGTTGCAGATAAGAAAGAGCCGATCGATAATCCGAGAATTTGTCACCTTGAAAAAAGTCAAACTGACAATCGCCATCTCTGTCAAAAGCCGACCAGTCATTGAAGCAGAATTCTTTTCTAAAATTTTTTCAAATTACAATTCTGTTGAAATTTCGAATATAAATAATAAACTTTTGAAATTTCTCATTTGAATTTTTTTCAAGAAATAGTCAATAACTCTGGGAAGCATAGTGCGATATAGTACTTCAAACATGATGAATGAAAGAGTATGATTTAAAAAAATAATAATAATGTGGCTGCGAATAAAGCAATTTGTGTCTAGCAGAACTTCGATTAATTTGAAGTCTCACTTAAAAAACAGTCGTAGTCATACAGTATATCACGTTTACCTAAAAGTATAAAAACCAGGACGACTCGGACAATTGATCCCTTTTAACTGATTGGCTAAAGTTGATTTACTGGAGTCTGTTTGTAATTCGGTTAGACTTTTGCAAATGTCGCAGTAATAACTGGATAAAAGTTGAATTGAGGACACAACACAATTTAACTTGTTAAGATTGTTTTTTAAAATAAAAATAAGTCGAATATACTTGCCATAGTAGTTGAAAAGATTAAGATATAAGTACAGTAAGAATTCTTTTACACGCAAAGATTGAAATAATTTTTTAAGATACCAGTTATTTCCATATCCGCCACAACCATTATTACTAGCGTTTTGACACTTTAAATTAGCAAAATCTTTCACATTCCACCATTGATATTCAGCTTTTGCAAAGAAACTATTCTCAAATGCATCTTCGTTATCTAATACTCTAACATTTTTGATTTCTAGATCAAAACAACCTGGAAGCTTGACCACTTCTGGTCTTATAACAAGCTGCCGTGGATCTACTTCCAGTACTTTTTTTGCTCCTGGACGAGCTGAAAGTAAAAGAATATAGAACAGCTTAACAATTTTATAACCTGTAAGTATCACATTGTGTAAGTATCGCAAAAGTATCACATTGTGGCACATTTGTTTATAATCTCTTTTATTAAAATGCACTGATTACTTTTCCATCTTATATTAATTCTTTAATGTCCCTCAACAAATTTTAATAATTACTAGGTAATTGCAGTGCATTAAAGTGAACTTTGAAACGTTTCAATTTTTTTAGATTCTTTCATGGAATAAACAATATAAGATTTGTGACAACAACTATTGAAACGGTTGCTCAGTAATTTTTGAGAGTAGTTTTATTAAAACATTTGTACAGTAACTTCTTAAATCAATTATAAAATAATTCACTTAAATAGTCAAGCTGTTCAATAATTCATTTAACAAGTTATTAAATGCTTCACATACTTTTGTTACCATTTTTTTTTTTTTTT